CTAAAGCATTTTGTAAACCATAAAGCCAGTGGTATACTGGTAAATGTTTTAACAACTGGCTCTCTGGAGAAAAAAAAATGTACCCAATTTAAGGTTTATGCTGCATTATTAGTATTTTCTCCATGACTTTCCTAAGTCTAGAGAATCAAAAAAACAATAAATCAAGTCCTGATTTGTATCGATTTCTGAGTGATAAATGCTCATATTGAAAATTTAACAATTCATTCTCAAGACTCTCTTCTAGCTTTCTCCAGCACATCCCTGAATAAAGTGCTATTTAAATGCTAGCTATTATTATTACTAAATTTATTTCAGTATTTTTCTATTAAACTTTTAAATAGAAACATCATTGAATAATACAAGACCCTGCAAGGCCTGGAAAACCAATTTTATATCGCTCAGTCTTTCTTTACAGGAGGAAATAATTGGACTCTTTCTTTACAGCTCATGTGATATTCATGCCTGTTGGTTAGAACAGTTCTCAGCTTAGATTCGGCTAACATTCTTGGCTAATAAGAAATTCATATTTGACTTCAAGGCAAGGAAAAGAAAATCAAAATGCAAATCAAAATTGGGTGGAAACTATGCCTTTCAGACAAGAAAAAGAATTATTTGTACAACATCATAAGTCAGTTTCAAAAGAATGTATGTAAATGCCTGAAATCCCTCAAATAAAGCATTTCTACCAATACATAAAACACTGCCTATGAACAAAAGGCGTTTTTAGTATGAAGACAATATGGACAAGGAAGTTAGATCCCTAACTGAACAAAGAATACAGAAACTCATGTTTCAAAACAGTTTCAATCAAGCTATCAAACTAAATTATATATTCTGTGAGCATTGAACAACATAGATTCCTAAGGTAAAAAGCAGAAATTTAAAAAGTGACACTCAGAAGTCATAGAAGGAACCAGAAGATTGACTTTTGAGGGGGATTATAGTTAACCTTGTTATCTCAGTGATCCGGGTACAGTTGTAAGATCTCAACCTTGGTGTAGATCAGAGGTGGGGAACCTTCAGCCTTACGGCCACATGTGGCCTTATGTATATATAAACCTGGAGGAAGAAAGCTTTGAGTTCAAATCCTATCTCAACACTTATGACCTGTGCAACTATGGGCAAATCTCTTAACCCCTCTTAGACTCATCTGTAAAATGAGAACGATAATGCCCATAGCAGATTGCTGTGAGGTTAAAATTTGTCAACAGATGTAAAGTGCCTTGTAAACCTTAACCTCAACAGAAACCATAAAGTGCTGTATATAGGAATATCAGCTATCTCAGAGATTTCCCTGAGCCTGGCTGCTTTTTCATAGGAAAGTATTAAATGAAACAAAACAGAAAAAAAAAATCTTAATAGTTCATGCAAAGTACAACTGCCTGCTGTTTGCAACTGTGTGATCCAAACACCCCAGGTGTCAACTCATGTTTATCCCTGCCCTGGAGAAAATAAACTGGTCTGGAAATTAGACAAAGTTGTAAAGTCTGAAAAGATTGGTTTCTGCCTTAAGCCTCTTCTTTCTTTTCTTTTCTTTTTTTTAATATTTTTTCCAGTTACATGTAAAAACAATTTTAACATTCAATTTTTTAAAATTTTGATCTCCAGATTCTTGCCTTTCCTCCATTTTCTTCCCTCTCCTTGAGAAAGCAAGCAATTTGATATAGATTATACATCTGTAGTCATATAAAACATATTTCCATACTAGACATCTTGTGAAAGAAAGCCAGACACACACACACACACACACACACACACACACACACAAAACAAGGAAAATAAAGATTTTTTTTTAAAGTATGCTTCAACCTGCATTCCATCTCCATCAGTTCTCTCTCTAGAGATGGATAGCATTTTTCACCATAAGTCCTTCAGAATTATCTTGGATCATTGTATTGCTGAGAAATGCATTTGCATTTCAAGGTTTTTTCTCTAATTGTCCAATTTAGCTAATTGCCCAGTGCTTTTCAGTGGTCTTAAGCTGCTTTATGGCAAAAAGTCTTTCTTAACATCCCAACTAGCATTGTGCCAGTGAAAGGGGAAGGAGAAGAAGGGGGGAGGGGGAAGGAGAAGGAGGAGGAAAATATTTGGTATAACATTCTACATGAAGTTTTTCCTAATTAATCATCAAACAGTATTGCTGTTACTGTATACACTGTTCTTTTGGTTCTGCTCACTTTACTTTGCATCAGTTCATATAAATCTTCTCAGATTTTTCCAAAACTATCCTGTGTAGCCTCCACTTTCAAAGAAACTTTTCTCCTCCTCAGCAGGCTTCTCTTTCTGTCCTGAGTCCAGATTCTAAGTCTACCCCTACTCCTTTTCAGTCTTCCCAATTAAAACATGACAGGACCTGAAAAGAGCTTATACTTAGCGATTTATTGGCTGATTAAACTTTCACTGAAACTAAGTCTCAGAAGATTATTGCCTCAACCCAAGCATTTGCATTTCAAGGTTTTTCTCTCTAATTGTCCAATTTAGCTAATTGCCCAGGGCTTTTCAGTGGTCTTAAGCTGCTTCATGGCAAAAAGTCTTCCTTAACATCCCAACTAGCATTGTGCCAGTGAAAGGGGAAGGAAAAGGAGGAGGAAAATATTTGGTATAACATTCTACATGAAGTTTTTCCTAATCCTCTCATTTGCTAGGTCTTTACCTCCCTAACTGCTTTGCTTTTTAACTAACTTATATTTATTTGCATTTATTCTCTTTATTTTTAGTCTGTTTATACAAATATATATATGAATCCCAAAAGTCTTTGTATAGTTTTGGTTATTAAATGATTATTAATAATAGTCAAACATTTAAAAATATCCACATTATTAATAAATATTAAATCTTAATTACATATTATTAATTTTTGATTGCCAAAATGTTTGCATGTATATGTATATACACATATATGTATATATGCAAACATTATTCTATATGCTTGTGTTCTAATTATTGGGGTGATAGCAAGGATTTCACATATATACATATATGTATATTGATATATATTTGTGTAAATATACATATATATACATCCCAAGTGTATACACATATATACACACACATATGTATATGCATATATGTATAGGACTGCCCCAAAATGTATATAGAGATATAGAATCTCCCTGATACCACACTTTTTGAAGAGATTATACACACACACACTTATACACATATATAGGTATATATACACACATATTTCACACTTATGTGTGTATATATTAACATATATGTGTGTATTTACACCCATATTCCTTGTTATTGTCCCAATAATTTGAAAGTGAGTTCCTTGTGAGTAGGGATTATAGTTGTATTCCCAAGGCCTAGTATAGTGCCTGGTACTTAATTAATACTTACTGATTGATTGAGAACTTTATGGTTTGCAAATTACCTTTAATATATTATCCCATTTAAGTCCCACAATAATCCTATGAGGAAAGCACTATAAGTATTATGAGCCCCATTTTATAGATAAAGAAACTGAGGCTCACAGAGATTAATTTATTTGCCCATGATCATACAGCTAGTAAACTCCAGATGTGTGATTCAAACCTAGGCTTCTCCTGACTGCAAATCCAGGACTTTTTTTCCACAATACTGTGTCACAGTAGAACTAACAACAGTAATATTTGAGATCTATATGGTCTCTTAAAATTTGTAAAGCCCTTACGTACATTATCTTGTAAAATCCTCACAATGACCTTGAGTTAAGTAGTACAGGTATTATTATCTCCATTTTATAGATGAGGAAACTGAGGCTTGCAGAGCTTAAGTGATTTGCCCAGTATCACACGACCGATAAGTGTCAGAAATGGGCCCAAACCCAGATCTCTCACAACTCCAGGTCCCACTGTTTTTACCACACTACCCTGACATATGGCGGGCAGTCATAGGTTATAACATTTTATCAATGGTAACTTGTGCCCTAGAAGTGACACCATAGATATCATCATCAATGGGTACAAATGGAAAAGGAGATGAGGGTGGCCATGTAGTAAGAACAAGGGACAAGAAGTAGACAGCCAATGAGCTGTACAGTTCTCCATAAAATATGAAAAGGACCAGAGGAAGGCCTCTAGAACCCAGGGGAGATTACCTGTTCAGGACTGATACGAGGATGTCCACAGGAATTGCATGGAATTAGCAATAATGGGTGAACTGGGACTCTACATTGGTGGAGGGATTGTCCAGACTGTAAGGTCACAGATCCTATTGAAGTAGCATAGGGTGATGGAAAGAGCTTTGGAGTAAGAGGCCCTCAGTTTAAATCCCTCCTCTGACACTTACTTCCTCTGTGATTTTAGGCAAGTCCCTATGTTTCTCTGGACCTCAGTTTCCTCAACGGTAAAAGGAGGTTGGAATAGATGGACTGTGGGGTCCCTTTCAGTTCTATGATCATAGTTATCTAATTGTGGGTTAAAATCTTTTTGCCCCCACTGTACTGCCCTCTCTTCTTTGCAGAGGTGGTGAGGTCAGTGTGGAACATAGCATAGACTGTCAGAATGGGCTGATGTATTTTTGCTTTCTCTTTCTTCTTTATATTACAAGGATGAATCTGTGAGGAGGAAGATGAGAGAAATATTTGAAAATAAAAGTGATCCAAAAGCAAAAGATGTCGATATGTTTCTAAAGCATCGTTTTTCTCTTCTTAAGAGATTTCCTTCCAGCGAGACAGTGCGGAGGTATCGTACAGACATATGTGAAATCCTGCTGAGCTTACATAGCTGGTCATAAAGGTAAAATCAAGCTGGTCCTAGTAGCGTCACCTCAGTGGTGGTCATTGATGGAAAAGTAGGAAGGGGAGCAAGGGATAAATATAATAAATAGATCTGTGATTGCTGATCGCCAGCTGCATCGAGCTGACACCCCCAAAATTGCAAACGCTACAAATCAGGGATAATTTATTGTTTTGTTGGTTACCTAAATTTGAGAAAGTGAAGGAGAAAATATGAATAATGCAGATTGAATTCAAAAGTCTGTTGAAAGTACTTTTCTTCCATTCTTTTTTTTTTTTTAATATGGAACACTTCACGAATTTTCGTGTCATCCTTGCGAAGGAGCCATGCTAACTTTCTTTGTATCATTCCAGTTTTAGTATATGTGCTGCCTAAGTGAGCACCTTTTCTGCCATTCTGGAGAGCCAATTGTTAAATATTTGCCAACAAATCCCCTATTATATGGCTTTGGTAGAATAATGTTAGAGTGGAAGCAGTATTGGACTTGAAGTCAATGGACCTGGGTCCAAATCTCTATTCCCATATTTACTGTGCTTCCTTGGGAAATAATTAATCTTATCAGCTAGCCATGGTAAAATTGTCCTATTAACTTTGAAACACTCAGGAAATGTGAACCATTATTGTTATTATGCAAAATGAACTCCTGAAGTTAATTTTTTAAAAAGGTGACCATCAAAATGCTATCCACATCCAAAGAAAGAGCTATGGAGTTTGAACGCAGATCGAAATAAACTATTTGCCATTTTTTTTCTTCCGTTTTGTTTCTTCTTTCTTATGGTTCCTCCTATTGGTTCTAATTCTTCCTTACAATATGACTAATGTGAAAATATGTTTAATAGGAATGTACATGCAAAGTCTATATCAGATTGCACTCTGTCTTGGGAAGGAAGGGGGAGAAAAATTTTAAACTCAAAAGCTTATGGAAATGATTGCTGATAAATCAAAATAAATTAATAAAAATTAAAAATAGAATAAAACAAAAAAGTGACCATCCTTATAAAGCAACATGAGAAGCACTCAGACGTGGCAGGTTTGCCAAACCGTTAGGAAGACCTGCGTACCAGTCCTGTTTCTGCTACATACTGACTATAGGACCCTGGGCAAGTGATTTGACCTCTTGGTGTTTTGGGCAATGCTCTAAGACTTTTTTCTGAGGCAATCAGAGTCAAATGACTTGCCCAGGGTCACACAGCTAGTAAGTGTCTGAGGCTGAATTTGAGCTCAGGTCCTCCTGACCCCAGGGCTGATACTCTATCCATTGGCTTACCTAACTGCCCCTTCTCTGAGACTTTCAAGTTGCTTTGTTGTTGGTCTTCAGTCATTTTCAGTCATGTCCAACTCTCTGTGACCCCATTTGGGGTTTTCTTGGCAAAGATGCTAGAGTGCCTTGCCATTTCCTTCTCCAGCTTATTTTACAGATGAGAAAACTGAGGCAAATACGGTTAAGTGACTTGTCCAAGGTCACCCAGCTGTCTGAGGCCAGATTTGAACTTAAGAACATGAGTCTTCCTGACTCCAGGTCCCACTGCCCCTAGCTGTCCCCAAATTTAAGCAAATTGCCTAACATATTTGAATCTCAGTTTCCTCATCTATAAAACAGGGTAAGAATACCTAATTGAGTTACCACATAGAGTTCTTGTGGAGACAGCACATATAAAAGTGCTTTAACAAAGTTCAAGGACTCACCAAAGCCCCATAATTAGATATTAGAGTAGTTGCTACGTGACTACGTCAAAAGAAATGGTTTCCCTGTGATTTTGGAAGGATTGTGTCATCTCGGTGGATTGTGGCCCTTTTGCCTGTTCCTATCTTCTTAAGCATTCCTTCGAGAGCTATCAGTCAATTACCGCAGAGGCAAGATACCAAAGATTGCTAGGTTCCCTGTCTGAAGACTTCTCTGCACTGATAGCAGGCATGACAGACAGCTAATGACAGAGCAGAAGCTAACCAGCAGAATTTGGTATGGAATAACATCTGGAAACCAAAATAAATACCGGGCTATTTTTAAATAGTCGCATTCATTTCAAAAGTACAAATAAGTAAACACATTGAAATGTTCCTCTGAGCTGGGAGATAGATTCAAAGACGCTATTACCAGAAACATGATTATAATGTTCTGTATTTTCAGAGCAGTCATTCATTATGTCAGCTCTCCTAGTGTTGTCTGCCCCCTAAGCCTTCCCCACTGTTATAACCCTAAAAGGTCACTGTGGATATCGTTGTGCTAAGATCAGAACCTTATGTGCTTCCTGCTCCCCTCCCCCCACCATCCTAACCCTTCCCTCAAGTCTCCTTTCTCTTGATTTCCTGTCACTGTCTACTGGTCTGGAGAGGGCCAGCTAGAGAAATTCCAGACACAGAACAGGAGAGAGAGACAGACAGGGAGACAGAAACAGAGAGAAACAGAGATAGACAGATTGTTGGGTTTTTGTTCAGTCATTTCAGTTGTAGGACACCATTTGGGGTTTTCTTGGGTGGAATGCTTTGCCGATCCCTTTTCTGTTCATTTTACAGATGAGGAAACTGAGGCAAACAGGATTATGTAATGTGCTCAGGGTCATTTGTCTGACCTCCACTGAAGTCCTACTCCAGGGCCTTATTACTCAGCTACATACAAGATTAAAAAAAAGGAATTTTGAAATGCTGATTTTTTTTATGTCCTACTTAGGAAAACAATGGGACACACGAGGTGTCACTAGAAAGTAATGTGATATTTGTTTGTGGTTTTTGGTTAGTTTTTAACAAACGTATAATGATTTACACATACAAATCTCAACAAAATAGGCCAAGAAAAGAATGACTAGTCAGCATTTGGGGTTGGAACTAAGGTTGAGGCTGGGAATCCATCTGAGAAGGAAGTACAAGCTAAAGACTTCAAGAGGAGTTCAGGCAAACAAAAGTCAAACATGGGCTGATTTCAAGTGAGATACCAAAGGGAGCAGGCCAAAGAGAAGAGTGTGGCTAAAACTGAATATTGTGTAATAATGAGCAAGTTTTGTCCCAAGGAGGGGGAAGAAATCATGCAATCCATCTCTTTCTCTTCCTTGTAGAGGTGGGGGACATGGGTATGAGATATTGCATATATTCTTAGGCTTGGTTTGATGTCTTGCTGATGAATAGCTGTTTTTTCCTCTTTCTTTTTTATTCTTTGTCACAAGAAACGTGTGTGTGTGTGTGGATGCGCGCACGTGCACACATAATATTTTGTGCCTCTCTGGTTCTCAGTTTCCTCATTTGTAAAAATATCATTCCCAGGTGCCTAGATTTAGAACTAGAGAGAGGAAAGTTCCAAAGCTACTTAGTCTAGCCCTCTCATTTTGCAGATGAGGAAACTGAGGCTCAAGAGCTTATATGACTTGCCCAAGGTCACAAAGGTAATCAATTAGCAGGGTAAGATTCAAACCCAAGTCCTCTGTTACCAAATCCAATGCTCTTTCCATTGTGCATGGCTTCTCATGTAAGGAAGAGATAAGAATAATAACTCCCATATATATAATGCTCTAAAATAATAATAGTAAAAAATTTTTAAAAAGAAGAGATGAGACAAGGTCTCTGTCTTCAAGGAGCTTACATTCCAGCGGGGCAAGTCAGTTAATTTCTTTAAGCCTCAGTATGCTCACCTATAAAATGGGGATAATAATGGCCAGTTTACCTCCCAGGACTGTTGTTAGAGGATCAGGTGAGATAACATGAATGAAAATGCCTTGAAAATTGTCAAGTGCTATGTAAATGTAAAGTTGCATGGCTCTGTAACCATTCCCACATGCTGCTGCTATTAATAGCATTGTCATTATTATTATTGCTCTAACCTTTAGAGCAAGCTCTAAAGCTACTGCTGTGCTTTGTAGGCACCAAACTGAAGGCTTTTTCTTGATTTCAAAAGATTTGAGGTTTTGAAAAAATATGTGTATTTTTATTACAGAACTGTCTATCACAGACTGGTTAGGCAAAGCAAGGAAAAGAGCAGTAGGATTATTGAGAAATTCTATCTTGCAAGTCATCTTCTGAGCAAATCAAAATCCCTGAGCCACTGGAAGCCTCGTGATGACATTGCAGGTAGGTGACTTCTCAAATCAAACACTCATGTGGCCCTGTCCTTATTTCAAAGCAGTTTGTCCCCATTAACAAATGTTCCTTTGAAAGATCTAGCAAAGGAATGTTGCAAAGAAGGAAATTAAAAGAAAGCAGAGTTGAGCAACAAGGAGGAAGAATGTTGATGATGCAGTGAATTTGGTCTAGAGACACTTGGCAAAACATAAAGCAATCAGGAAAGATCAAGAATGCCTGTGTTTAGTCTGACAGGTAAGAACCAGAGCGTGACAATGAATTTCAAAGCACATCAATGAAATTGTCCATTTTAGATAGAAAGCATCTTGTAGTGAATAATGAATTGGCCTCAGAGTCAATAAAACTTGGGTTGAAGTCCAACTATGGTACGTACTGGCAATGTGACCCTGGGCAATTGTCTTAACCTTTCAGTGGCCCGTGTAAATGAATTAAAAGTGAAGTTACAGAAGAATTGTTAGTAAGCATTATATAAATGTTGACTATTATTAGCATTATTATTAATTTATTTGGATAGAGTTTCCATAGCCATACCAGTAATTCTCTATACAATGAAATTACAAATCTAGACTAGAGATAGAAATTTACATTGGATAGATTTTGAATTTAATTTTGGATGAAAATGTAATTTTGCTTACATGTTGTTTCCCTCCAATAGGATGTAATTTATTTGTGGGAAGAGACTGTTTTGGCCTTCTTATCCCCAGTACTTAGCACTGTGCCCAGCCACAAAGTAGGTGCTTAATAAATACTTGTTGAATTAAATTAAATAGCCATAGCTACTGCAAAAGCTACAACTATTGAATCATAGATCTCGAGGTGCAAGGGACCTCAGAGCTCATTTAGACCAATCCCCTCATGTTAAAGATGGAGAAACTGAGGACAAGAGTGGTTAAGAAACTAGCCCAAGCTAATGCAGGTAGTCAGTGGTAGAGCCTAAGATTCCAACTCTGACACAAATCCAGCATTTTAATTATTGTGATAAAATCGATTTGAAGCTGGAAGGAACCTCAAGAGGCCATCTAGATCAATCCCCTCATTTCAAAATGAGGAATTTAAGGCCAAGAGAGGTCATGTGACTGCCCAAGGCCACACAGATAGTATCAGGGGTCTAAGTTCAACCAGGTCCTCAGACTCAGTGTCGATACCATCTTCTTGCCATTATTTAATTTTTTTTTCCTGACAGCTCCTTGCCGTATCTGATGTGAAAACTTGGGGAGAAGTGTGGTAGGATGTAAGGAATTCCTTAGATAGTCAATAAGCGTTAAGTGTTTATTATGTGCTAAGCCCTGGGAATGCAAATACAGCCATAAGGCAG